CTAAACTCACTAGTGCAGCATGGGGCCATGCAGTATTGCATGCGTCAGCACTGATTAAATTACGCCCCACTGCTTATCATATGCATTCCCCAATGCAATTGGCATTAGGCTTTGAGCCCGATATTGCGCATCTTCGCACATTTGGTTGCGATGTGCAAGTGCCAATTCCTCCTCCTCAGAGGACTAAAATGGGTCCCCAACGCCGATTTGGCATATACGTTGGGTTTGATTCACCGTCGATTATTAGGTTCTTGGAACCAATAACGGGTGATTTATTTACCGCTAGATTTGCGGATTGTCATTTTGATGAGACTGTATTTCCATCGATTGGTAAAGATAAAAATATCATTGATAATGATAAACAAAAACCAATCGAGAATCTCACATGGTGTGAGCAACATTTATCTCATCTAGACCCACGTACCTCTGAATGTGAAAGTGAGATCCATAGAATCATTCATTTACAAAATATTGCCAATAGACTTCCTGATGCATTTAATGATGCAAGTAAAGTCACGAAGTCTTATATGCCAACTGTGAATGTGCCAGCTAGGATCGCTGTTCCTGAAGAACATGCGAAAATGAATGATGATCCCCCACGACAAAAACGGGGTAGACCTATTGGATCAAAGGACGTTATTCCTAGAAAAAAGAAAGGGCAAAATCAATGAACCCTCAAATGAGGCGATTCCTAGTGAGAATGCTCCAGATGAATCTGTTGAGCCTGATATCGAAATAGCGATATCAAATCCCGGGAATACCGAGAATCCCATAAGTTATTGTAATGAAATATGGGATAGAAATGAGATAATTATCGATAATATTTTTGCATTCTCGGTTGCACAAGAAATAATGTATGATGATTATGATAGTGAACCGCGTTCCATAATGGAATGCCGCCAAAGAAATGATTGGCCTAAATGGGAGGAAGCAATAAAATCTGATTTGGCTTCCCTAGAAAAACGGAAAGTATTCGGGCAAATCGTTCAAACTCCAGATAATGTAAAACCCGTTGGGTATAAATGGGTATTTGTCCGTAAGAGGAACGAGAACAAGGAAATTGTACGATATAAAGCCCGCCTTGTTGCTCAAGGCTTTTCCCAGCGGCCTGGGATTGATTATGATGAGACATATTCACCAGTGATGGATACGATCACTTTCCGTTTTCTTATAAATATGGTCGTCCAAGAGGGACTGGACTTACGTCTAATGGACGTCGTAACGGCCTATCTATATGGTTCACTAGATTCTGATATTTATATGAAAATTCCCGATGGATTTAAAATGCCAAACTCTGGCACTCCTCGTGAGCTGCACTCAATCAAATTACAAAGATCATTGTATGGTCTAAAGCAATCCGGTCGCATGTGGTATCATAGATTGAGTGAATACCTTATCAGGGAAGGTTATAAAAATGATCCTATTTGCCCATGCGTGTTTATTAAAAGATCTGAAACCGGATTTGCTATTATTGCGGTTTATGTAGATGACATGAACCTCATTGGCACTTCTGAAGAGTTGGCCAATGCTGCTGAATATTTAAAGAAAGAGTTTGAGGTCAAGGACCTTGGAAAAACCAAACTCTGTCTTGGTATTGAGCTTGAGCATAAAAATAACGGCATACTTATACACCAATCTGCATTTACTAAACGATTGCTCAGAAGATTTAATATGGAAAATGCTAATTCATTAAGCACTCCTATGGTTGTACGCAATTTAGATCCTGAAAAGGATCCGTTCCGACCTAAAGAATTTAATGAAGAGATACTTGGCCCAGAAGTGCCGTATCTAAATGCTATCGGAGCGCTAATGTATCTAGCACAATGCACTCGACCAGATATCGCTTTTGCGGTAAATGTGCTTGCGCGATACAGTTCTGAGCCTACCCGGAGACACTGGAATGGTGTTAAACATATTTTTAGATATCTCCGTGGTACTGCAGATTTGGGATTATTTTATTCAAAGAATGCAACTAACCAAGGGTTAGTTGGTTATGCCGATGCGGGATATAGATCTGATCCCCACAAAGCTCGCTCACAAACTGGATATTTGTTTTGTTACAATGATGCAGGTATATCTTGGCGATCTACCAAACAAACATTAGTGGCCACCTCATCAAATCATTCAGAAATAATTGCACTTTATGAGGCTGGCAGAGAATGTGTTTGGTTAAGATCGGTCATATCACATATACGAAATTCCTGCCAATTAAATCCAGGTACAAATACGCCCACTATCATTTATGAAGATAATGCTGCTTGTATAGCACAAACAAGAGGCGGATATATAAAGGGTGATAGGACCAAACACATATCACCAAAGTTCTTTCATACACACGAGCTTCAGAAGAATGGAGAAATTGATGTCCAACAAATTCGTTCGTGTGACAATCTTGCTGATTTATTTACAAAGTCCTTACCGACCTCTACATTTGAGAAATTGGTATACAATATTGGAATGCGAAGAGTCAATACGAAGCAAGACTGACTATCCATCTCAGAAGCAATATTGCTCATTTCAGGGGGAGCAATGGTGCGCTGCACTCTTTTTCCCTTATGTCTGGTTTTGTCCCACAGGGTTTTCCAACAAAGGTTTTTAACGAGGCAGCTTATGCACACGACTTGGATTCAACCGATATAATAATGCTACGTCTAAGGGGGAGTATTACAATATTATCCCTTGTAGACTTCAGCATTAAGTTTTGTGTATAGTGGACCAAGTCAAATGAATAATACGTGTTGTTTACTAGTTAATAGTTAGCCATTTGTTTATAGGTGGCATCATGCATGTGCATGGATTTCTCTATATATAACTTGAGCTTGTAATGTAAATAGATATATCAGATAATAGTTTTGCTAAAGATTCCTATAAACACCACTTTCGATATTTTGTTATACAGTAGATGCTTTCAATTCTCACAAACATATTTATGTGTTTGTATTGTACGAGACCAGTTGGTTCTTGTTAAATTGTAAAGCTAATTACTGTTCTTCAATATATTATATACATATTTCGTACTATATTTTATATTTCACAACAAGATAAGTATAAATCGTTTTTAAGATAAAAATGAATATAATTAAGGAAAAAATAGCTGGAATTCCTTAAAAAATATACTCTATAACTGTAAGGATATGGACATTTGTCCATTTTGCTAAAAGTTCACCTGCGCTCCCGCTAACAGAATCGCTTAGGAAAACTAACAGTAACGGAAATGCACAGCTTAGCTATATTAATAGCCAAAAGCTTAGTTAAAATGCAGTGAAGAAAAAACTAAAACAAGAATATATGTTTCCCATATCATATACACAACTTACATAAGCAACTTAGTTAGACAGGTTAGTTACAATGCTTAGACAACTTATTTTCATAGCTTAGTTACACAACTTAATTAAATAAGCTGAAGAGAAAAAAAAAACTCTAATGCGTACATCCCTACAAACATTACCATCACCATCACCAAATCATTCTTAATAATTTTTCAGTTTGGCTTCCATAATTATTAGGTTACAGAAGAGATGAATGAGTGTAAGAAAAATTGTATGTCTATGCGTGTATGTTGTTGCATATGTGTGTATGTCTTCGACGATGGCGGCAGCGGAGAGCATGGATGGAGCAGATTTAATGGAGTGAAGTGGAGTTGAATGGAGCTGACGAAATTAAACGGTGTTAAATGGATTTGACGGAATGCAGGCGAAATGGATAAGAAAGGATTTTAGCAAATTGCCAAAATCTACCTGTCTTGATTTGAAAGAGAATTAGTGCCCATGGGTGTTTAGCAAAATACCCCTATAATTAAATCAACTATAAATTACTTTAATTGAAATACGAAGCATAAATCAGACAAATACTTAAGAAAAATTAAACATAGATATGTTATAACATATTGCACAAAAATATCAAATATATAATCGAAGATTATATGATAATTTAAAAATAGAAAAACTCGATTGCGTTTTCTGATAGTATTCAATAAAAATTTACAGTACGAACAACACCTATTACAACTTTAGAGTATTACTACGGTGATCCTCCTTAAACGTAGCATAAATAAATGTCACGTCAACAGAGGGTGTATCTGAAACAAAAAAAGAAAAGATTCCGCTAAAATTCACACCGTAGCAAATCGGTGTAAGAACGGAATTATGGGTTTATTTTTATAATTAGTAGGTGGTGTTTGCAAATGATTATTTAAAAGCAGAAGTTAGTGATTGTGAGTTAATCCAGTTTTAAGGTGGTGTTTGCAAAAGTTTTTTGAAAGTGATTATGAGTTTTTTTTACTTATAATCTGTTTTCAGGTGTTTGCAAAATCAATTTTTGCTTTTGCTTCTCTTAAAATAATTTGTTTTAAGTTAAAAGCACCCATAACCCTGTTTTTTCTATTTAAGTTCATTTTCCGGAATATTTGCAAACACCCCAACTTTTACAAATAAGCACTTAAAACTTACTTAACCCACAATCACTAACTTCTGCTTTTAAATAATCATTTGCAAACACCACCTAAATGTTTATTTCTAAAAGTTGGGGGTGTTGCAATTATTCCGGAAAATGAACTTCGGTGGTGTTTGCAAAAGCTTTTTGAAAATGATTATGAGTTTTTTTTGCTCATAATCTTTTTTCAGGTGTTTGCAAAATCAACTTTTGCTTTTGATTCTCTTAAAATAATCTGCTTTAAGCTATTTTTTTAAAAGCACCACTAACCCTACCTTTTCTATTTAAGTTTATTTTCCGAAATATTTGCAAACACTCCCAACTTTTAGATACAAGCACTTAAAACTGACTTAATTCACAATCACTAACTTCTGCTTTTAAATAATCATTTGCAAACACCACCTTAAATAGAAAAAACATGGTTATGGGTGCTTTTAAAAAAATAGTTAAAGCAGATTATTTAGGAGAAGCAAAAACAAAAGTTGATTTTGCAAACACCTGAAAACAGATTATGAGAAAAAAAAAGCGCACAATCACTTTCAAAAAGCTTTTGCAAACACCACATTAATAGATGGGTTTATTGTTATAATTTAGTCTAAGTTTAGAGGTTATTTAGTAATTTACTATAATGAAACCCAATGGAATGGACCACACACCAATCAACAAAATCTATCCCCCGGAATCTATGGCAACGTCAGAATTACATAGGATTCTCCACACGAGGCACACGCGACGCACGTGTAAGTGTCACTATCACAATGGGAACCGACAAATTACCATTATATCCGCTCATTTAATATATAATAATTTGGTAACTGTTCCTCGAAAAAATGGCGGGCAAATACCCTATCCAAATTGAATTCAAATTTTCGCTTAAACAAAACTGGAAACCCTAGCCCCACCTCCCCTCCCATTCCTCCATTTCCCTCCTCTCATTTTTTATTTCTCTCTCTCTTTCGCGCCGCGCACAGTTCAAAGTTTTTTGTTCTCTCTCTCTCTCACTTTTGCGGCTCAACTCGCACCTCGAATTCTCTCGATTCCGATCTCTTCTCCATGATTGTACGCGTGATTTTCAAGGTCTGTAATCTTCCATTAATCGTTTGATTTTCGTCTTTTTTTTGGGTGTCAATTTTGCTGTGTTATCGTTTTTGTTGATTTTAGCTGTGAATTTCTCTCTCTCTCTCTCTCTCTCTCTCTCTCTCTCTCTCTCTCTCTCATGGTTTATCATCAAATTGAATTGATTGTTGCTTGTTCTTAAGGGCTGAATAAGTAATTAAATTAGCTTTTTGTACGGTCATTAATTCATTCGATGGCGTCTCAAAATTCTATCTTTTTGTTTTATTTTTGGGGTTTGCTACAAACCTGCTCTGATTTTAGTGAATGTTTACATTTGTGGTATATCGGGTTACAGGCGGAAAGTTAAAAGGAACAATTTTGGGAGATTGAGAAAGGAGCCCTAAATCATGGGCAAAGTGTCTCCAAATGAACGGCAGCCGAAAAACGGGGGGAGACAAAAGAGAAAGTCAAAGAATTCAAATAGCAAGTATTTGAAACCCGGTGCTCTCGCACAGCTTCGAAATACCCGGGCTTCTAAATCTTGTACAGATCTCGGGAAGAAACGAGTTGCGGTTTCAAACGCAAAGCAGAGTGGAGTTGAAATTTCTGAGGTTCGGCAAAAGAAAAACGAGAGCCCTAGCACGCCTTTGTCTTCCGTAAGGTTCCAATTTGGTGCTATGATTGGAAATGCTGATTTATTTAGTCGGGATCATTTACAGAGCACCCCAAAGACCCCTCGAGCTGAAGAACACGACTCTGAGTCGAGGCTCGAATCTCTCCCCACTGATTTACTGGTTGGTATTCAGCATCTTCTGAACTATGCTATTCCTTATTTTTTTCGAGTCGTAATATGTTATTTGATTGATATGGTGGTGTTTTACAGTTGTGAAATATGAACCGATCTGTTTTCTCTATTTGTTGGTTTCATAGAAAGTTTCTGTTCTTTTTGGTTATGATAATATTTGTAGCATATCGAACAGGCATTGCGATTCCGCTCGACTGATTTCTTGCATTAACTTTTCAATATCCATTTATAATCGGTTACAGTGTTTGCAAGAGATGTTATAAGCTCAAAGGGCTTATGAAAAATATAGGCTATTGCAGTAATCTTTTGAGGAATAATTTTGATCTTTATTATCACAGTAGAAGGTATTGTTGATCAGTAATAATCCCGGCATTCTATATAAGCACCCGTTACTTTTCTCTGTCGAGATCCTAAGTGGTTAACTAAATTATCTGCTGCTATCACAGAACTAAAAAGATAACAGGGGAATAGCGTTTGATCTCGTTCTTTGATCGAATGGTCTTCTTAGTTTCCTCTTGCTAGTGCTGTTGAAGTTCTTGAGAAAATAGAAAACAACAAAAGAATGACATCTCTCTCTCTCTCTCTCTCTCTCTCTCTCTCTCTCTCTCTCTCTCTCTCTCTCTCTCTCTCTCTCTCTCTCTCTCTTGATTATAGGGGATCTGTATCTATATCTGATGGATTTATTTTTGTACAATGAAGGTCAAAATACTCTGCCACCTGCACCATGATCAGCTTAGAGCAGTTTTCCATGTCTCTCAGAAAATCAGGAAGGCAGTAAGTTCTGTAATTCAATGCTTTCCTCTCTCTCTGTATGTCTGTCATTATGCGAATAAAAATAAAGACAACTATTTTTTCTTTGTTTGATTGGAAAAAAGGTTGTAATAGCAAGGCAGTTCCATTTCAATTACACCACTCCAGATAGATCAAGGCAAGAGATGCTCAACACAAAGACTCCACTCCCAACTGAACACTGGCCTTTTATGAGGTAATACACATTTTCTATTCTTTAGACTAAACTCTCTCTCTCTCTCTCTCTCTCTCTCTCTCTCTCTCTCTCTCTATATATATATATATATATATATATATATATATATATATATATATATATATATATATATATATATATATATATATATATATATATATATATATATATAATAATGGAAAGACTTACTTGCAGCAAGGGAGGTGGAAAGGGGTTGTTTGCAAGTCCACACACACCAAAGGCACCGAAGCATGGGCCCCGCCCGCCTTCTCGTTTGAAGTTCACTGAGATGCGTCAAGTTTCAGCAGTTCTGTTCCAAGAGTCTTCGTTTTCTTCAAAGTATTTGGTGCCTTCGGTTATTCAAAAGCCCGTTTGCAAATCACTGGCTTCGAATAGAGTCCTATTCTACGAGGATGAGTTGTGCCAGGCTGTTGCTCAAAACAAACTTCGTTGAGTTTATTTTACTTTATCATTGGTTCATTTCTTATGAACTGACTGACTGATCAATATATGTGTATATCATATGCCCTCTTTTTATTTATTTCTTTTTCTCAACTAGTAGGAAGTAAAGTAGGTAGGGGTTTAGTTTTGTTATGACTTATGTGGATGGTTTTTTTTTTCTTGGTGAAATAATGTATTATACTACTAGTCAGTTTGTACAGTAACCATGGTTAAGACACGTGTCGGTTTTTTATTAGTGGATATTATGTTCTATCTTTTTTGTTTTATTTTGAACCGTGGGAAAAGGAAATTAGATGTTACACCTGGTTATTTACACCGAGTGAATTTGAACCGTGTAACTTCTAATTCCCCCGTGGAAAACAATCATTATTCTGTATTTGAGAATACTATATTCCCTTAAACATATATTGAGGAGATGCATTCATTATGAACACTTGATCTCGAAACACCGAGAATATATAATGGGATGTGATAAATGTTGTTTCAGTTTTTAATAATACCGTTTGGATTTCAAATGTGATTTAGAATTTTTTTCGAGGCCGATTTGTGAAAACTATAAGTACGGAGTTCGTAGTTCTATAAGGTAGCTTTCTAATCAAACTTGGAACACTACTAAGATTGGATGTCGAATGAATATATCCATGAATCAATTAACACCGCTAACAAACTTGACATTTTGAGTCATCTAAGATTCAAACTATAACTCATATGATGCATTACTTTGTGACTCGACATCCGATCTAATTCATTCGAGTTGAGTTGGGAAGTTATCTCAAAGGATTACAATTTTCGTACTTTGAATTTGCCAAAATCAAACTACAAAGGTGTCAAAATCATGTTCGAAATCAAAACAGTATTTAAATTAAAACGGCATTTAACATTTCAAATATATTATAGGAGTTCCCTATTTGAAACTTCCCTCTCCATTGTCACTCCTTTATCAACTAGAGGTAACAGGCAAATAGTTCAACAAAGAGGGAGATAATGAAAAAGGTGAAACCCCACAATTCAGGTGATTTAATATCTTCACCAGAGAATGCAACTTTCGTAAACTTTTGAAAAGAGCAGGGTAAAGGGAACATCCCGAAGGCCTCATCATTCACATCATGAAAGGAATCTGAATAAGTTTAATTTACAGTAGTATTGCGTTCACACTGCCAAATGGTTTACAAACACGAATCATATATATCTATCTATACATTATAAGTGTAACTGGGCATTATGCGTCACGAGACGAATCAGCACTCTACACAATTGTTCGGTACGCATGAACGAATGTGATCAATGAGCATTCACAAGGAATGGATGCTGGCACACACTGCATTCTATTGTTTCAGAACCGGACGCCGGAACCTGAACCTGCAACTCGAATCACATCAACTTCAATAAATAAATAAATTCTTTTAAAATTATTAATTCCATAAATTAAACATTTAATTCTTCGTTAAAGGTTAAATGTAAAAGAAGAAACCTGTAAATGAACTGTGCAAGTTGGACAGGCAACTTCTCTCATTCTTGTTCGAGAGGCTGAGGCTTCAGCTTTCACTCCTACAAATATAACTTTCTTTTAGCTGACTTCAAAAATATTCTAGAAACAATTCAACAAGCACTAGTACACTACTATATGAAGCACGATCAAGTACTGAATGTTTTAATTACCCGTCTTTCGCTTTTTGTCCATCTCCTCCTGCAACAGAAAACCTTAACCACGTTAAAAATCCGGAAATCCTAAAGACTAATTAATGGCTCAAAATTGGAAACGATAAAATGACACGCGATTAGATAGTCACATGTTAATTATAATTAATGGCTCAAAATTGGAAACGATAAAATGACACGCGATTAGATAGTCACATGTTAATTATACTTGTCAAAGTATAGTATAATGCGTAACGTGAAAAAACAAACTACAGCTATTGTTTTGAGGAGATACACGAATCACAAGCTTAAGAAATAAGAATACGGGAAATCTTGCATGTCCTTAAAGCTCAATAAAGGTGGGCAATCAAAATCACATCATACGCTCATTTTCTTCAACAATTTTTTTTTTTTTTTTTTTTTCTGGAGTAAACAATTTTGAATCGGCGTTATTCGCCCCTCCCCATTTAAAATGGATCCAACTGAAGAACAAAGTACGAAGAACGGAATATTTTGGATACAGAGAAATTCATACGTAAAACATTTTTGTTTCCAAAAAGGAGAAGTGAAGATTCAGGTTCGTGACAACATCTTGTTTTTTTTATGGATATGCTTACAGCATAAGAACTGCTTCGCCACAAAGCTAGTTGACTTTAAAATAAAAAGGGGTCCAACAACAGATGGTCCGATTAGAACCAACACTCGCATATATATATGATTAGGAAAACAGATTTGGTGTCGAATGACTCCCTGACGTCAAATGAAATCATACATCACTATATAAGCAACACTTGTGCAATTAAACATTATTAAACTAAGCTTTCCGACAAGCTTAGGAATAATAATTATATATATCTTCTGGTTAGCGATGAAATTTATTATATAGCTGTCTGTATTACCTGAAGTCTTTTAGCAAGATCCTCGTGGCTCTGTAACCCAGCAACTCTTCCAGGTGCTACCTTATTGCTCAGTCTTTGGGTCACTTCTGCCTACAAAATACCATACGAATCGCGACTATAAATAAGAGGCGAAAAAAAGAAAGGAAAATTCCTACAATCTAAGCCACATAAATTAGTATATGGAAATAGTGGAAGAATCATGTAAAAGCTGTTCATTCTTCCACGCCCATAAAAATAAGAAAAAGAGAGAACACAACAAAAAAATTAAGATATCGAGAAGGGAATGAATACTGTTTTACAAAAATAAGTAATGAAATGTAAAGCATTCAGATAGTAGACAACTTAATTCTAATATACCAATTATAATTATACTTAGAACTTTCTTATAAGTGAATCATCGAATTTCAGATGCACCACTTATATTTCATGATAAATTTTCTGTCTCCCGAAGTCAGTTGATCTTGCTAGATACTTATTTTTGATTCAGCAAGAAAGCAGAACGTAAATTATAAAAAAAAACAATTGAATGATCTCGTGGAATGGGTACAAGAATGGTAAACCGAAATTTCTGAACAGGCGAATATGTATCACATACTAAAATTTCTTTCCAGACAACAAATGACGTGAAGGAAAACCATGAAATGTTTTACAAATAGGTGCTAGTATTTCAAATTGGAAGTTAAGGGAGAGGAATTGAGATCAACAAACAAATGAATTTTTGCAAGTTACATAGATGTCACGGATCATTTTATCCGTAGGCAAGAATACATTTCCCAAGAATCGTTGGTCTAATTGAGGACTGTATCTAACTGGAAATCAGATGCCACTTCCCGATTTCAGGTTTATTTCAGAAGACGAAAAAGTGTGTCAAACAGAGGAGATAAACATATGTATAATGGAACAAATTTGATGTATGATTTGTTGTATTGAGGATATAGTGGAACCTTAAATCCACAACATCAAGCCTGTTTCCCCAATAATGGTAGGAAGACTGGGTGAGAGAAATGAATGTAAGAAAGATGCTTCAGAGTAGAAGAAATTTCAGGAGGTTCACTAGTGCACATGGAAGGTAATAAGAAGTAAAATACATACATGCGTCAATTTTTTGAACAGGGATGATGGATGAAGTCAACAAGGAAGTCAGAGTAGGAAAATAAAGACAAGAAGCTTATATGATACAGTGTCATAAATTGAGGAACATGAGCATAAAGGGTATTATAGAAAGCCAGCAACACCAGATCTTTTATGGGTATTTGCTCTTCAAATTTGCGAGGAAGTCTTCAGCACTCATTTTACAGATAATTACGTCTTTTAGTTTACATGCTTTTCATCTTTTGAGTTGGCTTCACAATGTGAACTTTTTAACTTTTGAAACCAAAATAGACAGATTTTTTTTTCTTTAAAAATATTGCTATACTAAAACTTTAGCTGATTCGTGAAAACCAGGAAACTTATAGATATCTTCGCTAAGAGCTAATGCAGGCCACTTCCATTACAGAAAGGTACCAAAATTGTTACTCAAGACGGACCAATCCACAATAAAGGTATTGTAACCATGAGCAATCAGATGATTGTTTCACTCATTTACCAGCTGCGAAGTTGTCGGGGCAATAGAATTTAATGCTCAAAAGAAAGACACGTCTATATTCTAATTGCAACAAATACCTCATTTTCATATTGTTGCTTATGAGAAACAAAATTAGAAAAGCTCTTGGGAAATCAGTCATACCATGCATTGGTCACAAACTCGAACTGGTTGAGCATCTTCATCTGCAGTAAGGGTAATTCTTCCTTGTGTGCACTTGTCACAGAATATGTCGCCACAGTTTCTACAGTGATGCTGATGACATGCACAAAAAGGTGAAAGACTACCCAGTGAGAAGAGATAATTAAACTCTGGAATAAGACAAGAAGATTATCAACAAAGAGTAAATTAGAAGGAACACATTTTCAGGCAAAATGCAGAATAACTGTCAGGGGATTAAAGTTCAGAACAATGATTTTTGTGTGAAGAACCATTTATTACGTATACTCTAAGACGGTGACTGATGCAGCTAGTCAGCATAAGAGTACTACAAAACAAAGGCAGTTTCACCAAGACATAGATGTTGTGAACAAGTTTGGTGATTCAACTACAGAAACGTAGAAGGTAAAATCCACCATTTGTTCATGAAGATTCCTTGTATATTATCATTTAAAGTTTACATAGTTCCAGATTAACATTTGCAGCAATGTGGACAGAAAAGAGAAAGATTTATTAATACGATTCTCATTCTGAGGCAGGGAGCTCATGCAGTGCAAGCACTCATTAGCATTGCTCATAATAACAGATGTGCTCCCAAAGATTAAAGTTCAAGTCTATGTACTATGCACTACTTCAAGAATATGAACCATTACTTTGGAAAAGAAGATAAGCATAGAACAAATGGATCTTTTGCAATTTGGGATAATCACTAATTCAAGGTTTTTAGGAAAAAACTAAACTTGAGATGTTAAGGTTGCAGAAATAAATGAATACGGCAATACGCTAATGTGAAACTTGAATTAGATTTGCAGGAAAATACTTCACATCCACACGTAATGCCAAAAATGGCTTATATACAGAACAAATCTTTAAATAAGCATGGTTTTGAGGTTGAACCCTGAGGTCTGCATCCTCCACATGTGAAACTCCATCTAGACGTTTCTCATCTAAGTGAGAATGATGCAGACAGTACGATAACGAATATAAATCAATCCAATTTAGGATAAATTCCACTTTAACCCCTCCTCCTAATCTAGTTGAGTCTCACTTTACCCCTTGCACTCTCAATTATCTCATTTCAACCCCACTTACTCTCATTGTCTCACCATACTTCTATACTCTTCAAACCCAACCTTATATATATTCTAATCAAAATACTTCTAATATTAATATAATTATATTATGTTTTAAGAATATGTTTAACTTGATTAATTAATGTTAATAATTAACATTAAATTTAATATTTCATTTTACTTATATTTTAATGGTATGTTTTAAATTTATCATAGTTTCTACTGAAGTGCTATTTAACAAGGGGTGTAAAGTGAGATAACTAAGAGCACAAGAGTGTAGGGGGAACTCAACAAGAGCGGAGGTGGATAAAGTAAAGCCTAACACTAAAATGAGTACTTACAAGCTTTTTGAAAAGTATCTTGAAGCCAAAACAAACGTAATCAAGCTCACATATGATGCTCTTGCAGCTACTCATGTTAATTATGCTATTATATTAGATAATATTATTTAGAAGCAAGATCAATATCAAACCAACAAGAAACAATCAGAAATCAAGGTAAGACCCCAATATGTAATAGAAAATAAGCATATGTATAAGCTGGGAAATAAAAGCATAAATAGTGATAACCATTAATATACGCAGCTATAGTGAGAAATCAAGGAGTATGCTTTTTTCTTAAATGGAGAAAAAAAATGTTAAAAGAAAAGTAGAAAAAAACTTCGAACAAATAAATTAACTACTACGATGAAGACTAAACCAAGAAAATCAAGGAAGACGACTAGAGAAAAATGTTTTAGCATATCCAGCTCTTTGCTCTGACTTTTTAAACAGTTCCATTACACATTCCAATAGTTTCTTCCATTCCAACAATTACCCATTAGTTTTGTGTTATAAATATTGAAATCACAAACTGTGATTGTCCTGCCGACGGTGATAATGAACAAACTGTCAATATTAAACCAGATTCTAACCTTTCTATTAAAAGCATTGAAATCTGATATGCAAGCTTTGCACTTGGTTACTGCTTCGTCTGGAACCTAAAGTGAAAGAAAAACATTTAGTCATAATTACCAATAAGAAATTTTGAGTTGCAAAAACCAGCAGTAGTAAAAAAGTTTAGTAACAAACAAATCAACAGACATGTTAAACTTACCCAGTGATCTTTCTCCTCGTTAATTGGTTTTATCAAGTTCTTCCAATCAATGAAGGCTTTCTTCTTCTCTAGTGATTGATCGGTTCCTTTGATTAGATCCGAAGAGCTTGGTCCAATCTCTTTGGACTGTGCAGTAAACCAAAAGTTCAACTTAAGTACAGTAATTTCATGTATAAGCTAGTTATTAATACATGTAATGCATCATCAAGACTCATATTTCATCCTAAATATTTGCTTCATGCAGTATGCACCTATAAGTTCAGCAGAAGCAGGTCAGAAGTTCTCTATGCTGAAGATCATGAATGTATCAAACAAATCGATCCGAAATTTAAAAGTATACCCATTCTTGAAGAGAACTATTGAAAAATAAATTAAATAACCACTGGAGTAAAACATGCGTAAAACAAAGTTGTTCTTACTATTTCTGTAGGCCAATAGCTTATGTAGTTGTAAGATATCAAATCATGCAACTCTGGGAATGCCTATTGCAGGTGAATGTTTTGCAGCTTATGAAAAACAATTGTGATCATAAAAGCCTCCATTAAGAAGAACCACTCTAAGACTATGTAGAATGATTCTAAATTTATTGCATTTGTGTTGAATCTTGATTTTTGTGAAAACTGAAAAGTCTGGCCCGGAGCAGACCAAGACAGTCTTAGTTTGGAAGCTTTGGAAGCAATTTGCTGGTCAAATGAAAGGGAAAGAAAACAACAAGGAGGGAAAATGCACTTGCATGATGTAATAAACAAAAAACTGAATAGAAGAGCTCCTAACACAACTTCCAACATTTTGATTTTATGAAATCCGTCCCTATGTGCCTGAAGCCTTTGATAATGAAAAGTTACTCACAGAGATATATGAAGACTTTTAATACAAAATCCTTCTGCAGCAGTCAGAACGACTAATTCAAGAAGGAACAGGTAACACAAATTATATAAAATGGAAATAATGAAAGTTCACAAGTACAATCACTTTCATGATGCTTCAGCAGCTTCACAAGCTGAACATACTCTGAGGCTGATTAGATCCATAAAATGAATAATAACACTCCAACCTAGACTAAATTCTAATCAAATTACTTATATTACAAATAAACACTGTATTAGTATAAGAACGGAACCCAATGCATCCTAATGTATGCTGTATATTATGGATTTTCCAAAACTGAGTATCTAAAGTAAAATTCAAGTATATGTCGACAATATTAGCACAAGAAAGAGGACCCCTTATGTATATTCTAGTATCATGGATATTCTATATTTGAAATGCGGGGGAAGATAATCAACCCTCTGCTAATAAAGTAAAGCACAACTACAAAGCAATCCAGCAGATGGTTAGCATCTAATATAGTTGGCAAATCATATTAATTTTATTACAGCTTCAAGCACTTCCCTATCAATATCAGGATCCTTCAAACTAGTATGTATCATTCTACAAGAACGAACAATGTGAAACAATGATAAGGCATAGTGTTAGAACCACACTCAGTCCCACAACTCAATAGGCTCATTAATCGATAAATAAGGTCACTGAAAAATTCTCCGTAAAGCTGTATAAGAGAAGTAAAAAGATACAGGGGAACATCCCAACCTGTATGCTTGCTGCTGTCACTGTGTCCAGAATATTGTTTGTGGTGTAACTAGTTGATTTCAGCCTGATCCGCGCGGGTTCTGGATCAACATTTGTTTTAGCCCAAAATGCAAAGATATACATATCTAACACCTGGATAGGAAAAGGGATCAATCACGATACAATCAGTGAAAAATACACATTTCAATTTCAAATGCATTATCAACAAGTGTATGTACCTCCCATCTAGTCACTGTATCAAGTGGATATATTTTTAACGTCCTGCTGGTTATTGGATCCAAAATGCGTATCCCATCCAGGCCAATCTAAAATCGATTTCAAAACATCGATAAGAAAAGGTATTAGAAACAGTAGGCACGGAAACTATTCTTATCGAAAACTGAACAAATATAAAAAGAAGCAACAACTAGTTCAAAATCCAAATTTGTACCAAGACAAGCAAACCGAAAAGAATTAACTACGAACATCTCACAAACCTGACAAAGAACATCCATATCACCTTGATCGAAACCCTCAGATAAAAGCTTGACACGAAACTTCTGAATACCACTCTTAACATCCTCAGAATCTTCTGCCTTTGGAACCGCCTTGACGATCTTAGGTGCAGAATTCACAAATCCACTATGAGTTTTTCCTCCAGGAACATTAATCGGCCGCCCATAATCATCAAACATCACCCCACTGCCGCCGCTTCCGGAGTCCGACGATCGGCCTTCCTTCCCACCGTAAGACGACTCCATTTGTCCACCGTTATATTTGTAAACCCCAGCATCAACTCTCCCTTGGTATTCTCCATAATTCCCATTGGTCTCAAATGAATTGGAATCATACGGCAAAGCTGAAGCGCCATGGTGATACGAATTCAACGAGTATTGAGGATCGTATCTCGGTTCGAGGTTGGGGCTAGGGTTAGGGTTAGGGTTAGGGTTAGGGTTTGCGCGGATGGCATAATCGTAGTTTACAGGAGGCTGATTTTGATGGTAAGGTAGAAGATGATCATGAGAAGCTTCGTGGAGGTGAGGGAAAGTGTACTGATCGGGATTTGAGGGGTGATTGGATGGAAAACTGTAGTAATCGGGAGGAGAGAATAATTCCGGTGGGGCGGAAGCGTGAGGGGCGGCGGAAATGGGATTGAACGGCGGAGGATCGGCGGAGGTGGGATTCTGATAGTACTGGTGGTAATAGGATTGGGCGGCGGTGTCAGTTTGTGGTTGCATCTTCTTCCTTTTTTGATGAGATCTAATTTGTTGAAGAGATGCAGAATTTCTGTTCTACTCTTTGCGCCAAAAATTGGAGAGCAAGTTTTGTTTGTTCAACAATGGAGGACAGAAGGCAATTTCTGGAGAGGCTTCTTTGCTTTTATTCCTTGGTCAAAATTCTAATTTTGGTCCAGCAAATTTTGACTTTTGCGTTGTTTTAGTTCGGAAGTTAAAATAAAATAAAAAAATCATGTCGGTTTTGGAATATTTTCCCCACCAAAATCATGGAGTTATTATATTGGACTTTTACACGTACTTTCGTAGAAAAAACTAGCCAAATATATTCTCGTTTCTACATCTATATAAAATTAAAAATACTAAACATATTCTTATTTTCTACTTTTTTAATTAGAGACATAACCTAACATCCCCTAAAAACTTTTAGAAATTGCATTTAATTATACTTTCTTTTTACAAATTCGTAAATAATGGGAATTCTATATTGGGCAAATTCCACTTCCCACCTTGTATTTTGGATCGATATCACTTTATCTCCTTCTACTCTCGATTGCATCGATTTGTCCCATTGCACTTGAAAAATTGTCTCAATGTGACCCTCGCCGTTAGTTATCGGACATTTGATCGTAACACCGTTTGGTCTCTAAACTCTGAAATTACAAAAAAACCCGCAACTTAGTTTAAATAATTGTTAAAAAAACATAAAAGAAAAAAAAACAACAACAATAACAAAAAAATATAGTCTACGACCGCAGCCACAATTTTATTTTTTTATATATAATTATTTAAACTGGGAGGGGTGTTTTTTTTATAATTTTCAGACTTAGAACAAATGATGTTTAAGTCAAAGGTCTGAAAACTAACGGCGAATGTCACATTGAGACAATTTTTCAACTTCAGGGGAGCAAATCGATGCAATCGAGAGTATAAGGGGTAAAGTGATATCAAGACAAAGTACAAGGGCGAAAAGTAGAATTTCCCATTTTCTATTTTTTTTGGAATTTTTCAACAAAAATGAGAAATTTCGAGGCAAAGTTCAACAAAATGCAATAAAACTCGACAAAAGTTTAACAAAACGAGGAAATACCATCGAACAACAAAATGCAACATGGCTCCTTCCAAAAAGAAACAGGACTTGTCCATGAATAAGTATACAAATATAACTTGACCAAAATTAAACATAAGCATAGACACGGGCAGGGTTTTACCCGGACCCGACCCGATGAAGGCAAATTTGATCATAAAAAAATAATAAAATTTTATTTTTAAAAACCGCAAGAATCAAATCGTAGATCATAAAATTTAATCATTTTAATACATTTTATTCAATTATTTGAATCGAATGTAAGATTCAAATGGATTAAGCTCAAGTCCCTTCATTTTATTTTTTTATTTATTATATTACATTTGTTAATAATTTAAGTAACATTATTTAATAATAATGAATGTGCTAATTAATAATCCATTTAATATTATTTATTATCATCATTTTACACTTTTAGTTTATGTTATATATATTTGTTGCTAATTATTTTTCAAAGATTTGATGTATGTGACACTACACCATAAAACTTCATCCATAGCGTTTGAAAAACGCTATGGTAGGCTATCATAGCGCTTTTACAAACGCTATGTCTGCCGGAGCTATAATAGACCCCGACTTTACTATAGCGTTGTACAAACGCTATTGTATAATATCCTATAATAGCGTTCTTTTTGAGCTGTTGTCATCCGTTTTATAGCAGTTGTTTCATGCTATTATTTATATGTAAACGCTATCCTATGTTAGCCGATGATACATATTTTGCGCTATTGTTTACCCAAACATTTGCAACATTTATTGGTTAATATAAAATATTAAATGACCATGTTTTTTTCAATTGCAATCACTAATATCTCATCTTGCTTCTTTTCGCATTGCTATTAAAAAATAATATAACAAATTATTTTTTCAACATGATAATAACAAACATGAATATACAATGACATGTATTTTTATTAAACTCAAGATAATACAAGAACGGCTAAGAATATTATATCACAATAACAAAATAAATTATGTACATATCCTGTTCGATTTGATACCATTCACTAGGTATAGTAAAACTTATATACTGAACTTAGATTGTTATTTCGAAAAACTAAAAGAATCATGTTCACAATCGTTTCAGCATATTCAGTTGAGAACGCCATAATTCGTCTTCCATTCCTTGTTTCCTGTTAACAAAATCAGGAAATATAAGAATTTCAATTCTATATTTCTAACTTGTTTCATTACGCAATTTAAAAAATGACGTTATCACCTAGTAGTTAAACACATTTATTGTAAAAAAAAAACAACTAATTTTTCTAATTATTCAGTTTGCATATACTTAATAATCACATTCACATGTATGTTCTGAGATAACATAAATGGTTCTCATAACCAAATAGGAACAACAAAGTAACCGAAACAACTTTTAAGCTATTAATTACATAAAAAGTTTTCCTGCAAAAATAGATAAATAGATGAATGCATTAAGCTAGACATGAAACTAGAGAAACATATAATCATCAGAGATAGAAGAGACATTACTATGTGCATCAGATGAACAATTCAATCTTCTGGCCATGGTTCCACGACATTGAATATACTTGATCATCTCATTTAAGCACCATAAATCACTGCATCAAAAATCAAGTAAAAGAACTGTCTTAAGCAACCTATCTCCAAATCAAACTAGATAATGTACATGTACAGTCAAGTAAAGATAAAATCATGAAAATGACAACAAGAGTACTAACAACTTGATGTGGTGATCTTGCATATACCCTTTGAGGAAACATTTCAAATTGATAAATTCTTCCACAATTTAATGCTTCGGCTAAGTTAATCAACAAAGAAAGAGACATCAGTCCAATGCTTCGGCTAAGTCAATATGCACCCTCGTCACCCTCTATCTGTTCAAAATCGGGACCAACGAAAAATTAATAAATATCAGAGGTGTTCCATATGAGATCAAATGATACAGCGAATATAAAAAAAAAAATGAACTTTCCAGCTTACGACATATTATAAGCTGCACAAGAAGCCCATGTTAGGAATACAAAAAAAACCATAACTGGAAGATGTTAAAATACAAATAAACGAATAGAAAGATAGCTTTAAAAGCAATGGATTAATAATATAACTTTGGAACCACATAGCATGAATTCATTTGAAAATTACCGTTACTTACATTGTCTTAGAAAGCCCACCTTACAAGTTTGTGCTACCACTCAAGAAAAACATTTCTTTAATTACCATCAAACTCTTTTGTAATGTCTTTAGTATTGCATAACGTCCCTGAAAAGAACGTTTTCCATCAAATGTATGGTGAAGGGAAGGTAAACAAAATTTTAGATACAACATATGCGTGTCCCCGAGAAATTCATAGACTGTTGCCGTCCAAAATTTGCTCTTTCTTCTGCTCCTCTTTTTTTTCTATGGCATAACATACATCAATTCTAAATTACTGCTAGTTTAAATATTATATAATAAAATAAGATATTCTTTAAAATTACTATTTGTATTGAAAAAAAACAAACAAAACTCAAAAGGCAAGAGTAATCCCAAGATTCAACAAAAACATAAGTACGAAGAAAAAAAAAAAAAACTCAAAGTGACCAAACTAAAATACCAGAAAATGGGTATTCCCTGAATCAACACTTAGAAAAATTCAATAAAAAAAAACAAAATACAAATTAGCCATTTATCCACCCACACAAGTAATCTTTGGTATATCTTTCAGATCCGATTCACTGCCGCTTTTGCTTAAAAAAATGAAAATATGGCTGCTCATAAAAAGACAAAAATTAGAACAAAGAGAGAAAGAGATGGTAAGAGATACCCAATACTGATTGAAAATGGATAGAACCGTGTGCCAGGAGGTCGATTTTGAGAGGGGACGATACATAAATTGACAAATTCGTGGTGGAGATAGGATCGAAGATTGCGTTTTGCCGGCAGTGCAGGTCGACATTTGAGAGAAATGAAGGATTTCAATTTTAGACGATTATCCATGGGAGGTGGAAGGGAGTTTAGGGCTTTGTTTCACTCATAATATATTTTATTTAGAGGCCCGGGAAAATGAGCGCAATAAATTTCAATGTTATAGCGTTTTATTTTTGGATTTATTATTTGGAAACAATATAAAGAGCAATTATAGCATTTATGAGAAAAACGCTATAGAGATGTGCTATTAAAAGCTAATTTTGTTGTAGTGTGAGTGGTTAGGAATGTAATACATTTTGGAGCAACTCGTGTTCCATCCTTAACCGGAGAATTTTTCTATGATTAAATGTAAAAATATTAAAAGTCCGGTTTGGCCCCGGACCTAGCCCGAGCCCGGACCCAACAGGTCCCGACTCGGACCCGCCGAGACTGTCTCCTATGATCAACTTCAGTAAAAATCGGCTACATTCTTTAAAATCGGTAACATTGCAAGTTGCAACAACTTTTATTGAAAGAGACTGCATAACTTGGGATTCACGAGCTCTCGACAAAGTCCTTTAACGTACTGATTTGTTATTAGAAAGGAAATTAGTTTGTTGTACAAACCTATTTCATTTTTGCAATTAGCTTAAGGCCTCGTTTACTTCAACATATTAGCCTATATATATATATTATTTTAGTACAACCCAATAACATGTTTACTTTACATTATCATAATACTAGAGGTCCAATATTGATGAGCAGCCTAACAGTATTTGACCCTCATCCAAGGATCTCCCTACAAGCTTAGGGGTGGGATGTGTAATATTCCTCCTTGGTATTAATGTCATTTTACTGTTATACCATTACTTTTCAGCAAAACCTAATTTTTCACCTGCCAAAAAGGAAACAAATGGGAGGGAAGCACAAAGAGGCAAACCAAATATTTTTTTCAATACATAACTCCCAAGAGCAAAAAGACAGATGAACTCAAAAGCAATACATTATCACGTATTGAAAAGTAAAAATGACAAAAAAGCTGGATTTTGAGGCAAAAAATCGTCACTGGTCTTCAAATCAAGCAGGTATGATATAATTTATTTTTCCGTAAATCGCTAGTATCACTTGCTGTAGAAAATATGATTTTTTTTTTCCAGAAATTGTAAAGACCTTCTTTGCCCACCATATATTTTGTTTTGTTTGTTGATTTTATGATTTATATGGGCAAATTGCTCAATTTATTACTGTAAATCTGCAGTGAATAATTATTTTGAAATATTTGAAATCAATGTTTTAAAAATCGGCCGAGGCTGCCGATTAGAGGCGGAGGCGATCCCAAACTTTTACGATTTTAGTGTAAAGGTTTGAAAAATCGATTTTTGCCTCAGAGGCGGTTTTAGGCGGTCTTAGACGGGTTAAGGCGGTTTGAGGAGGTCAAACCTTTAAGGAGGGTCAAACTTCGGTGGCACAAATCGGCCGAAAATCGGTCAAAAATCGGTCTCTCTCTCTCTCTCTCTCTCTCTCTCTCTCTCTCTCTCTCTCTCTCTCTCTCTCTCTCTCTCTCTCTCTCTCTCTCTCTCTCTCTCTCTCTCTCTCTCTCTCTCTCTCTCTCTCTCTCTCTCTCAATTAATGTTTGGATTTGAATTAAAAAAAATAGATACTTGACTTTAAAGTGGATATTAGTTTACATTGATTTACATTTGTGTAATGTACTTAGTTTGTTGCTTAGAGCTTATGGGGAGACGAATTTCTGCAATGAAATCGGGACGGAACTCAACTAAATCAATGTGGCAGTTGAGTTTAGATGACTTACTTGAACTGCTCTTTAATTATTTACTATGCAGGATCTGAAAATTAAACAAAATGTATGCTAGACACGGTAAGGTCTTTAACATTATCTTATCGTATCCAGTATGTACCTAAATGAAGTATAGAACAAGATAATTATTTACTCATGCAAGATCCGAAAATTAAACAAAATGTATGCTAGATTATCACAAAGAATCAATCAACTCACCAAGAGTAGAAATTTATACCTGAGCGAAACCCCTGGACCAGGGTTTCGTACGCCGCTGATATAGTTTTCTTAAACTTGAGCGTGAAGGAGTGTTGGGTATCCGCCCGGAGAAGACAAACCACACAAAATCAAAATACTCATATTTTATTAGAAACAATTAAAATATAATATAATATATTTAATCAACAGAATCAATAAATAATTAAATTAATAACAACAATTTATAATGGCATTAATCAGCAACAAACGACGACAGCATCACTCAACAATCAGCAAAACCAACAATCAGATCATAATATTTTAAGAATAAATATTAATGCTCAATTAACCTAGAATAAAACGTGATTTAATTAATGCAGAAAAATAAATAAGGGTAAGAGACAAAACCGAGCAATTCACACAGAATTGCAAACGAAAGTTCCTCCGACGGCTGCTCCGGCGGTCGTCGATTATCCGGCTCAGTCCTCAATCTCCGAGTCCTCGTCCAAGATCCAAGTGGGGCCTCCAACACTCACGGCAGCCACACACACGTACACACACAGTGTATTCCAACGAACAAAACGAAGAAAAACGAAACCCAAATTCACACCCTAATCTTACCAGTTTATCCCTAAAGAAGTAAGCTCGAATTCATTGAAAGAATCGAGCTTTGCTTCTCAAAAAAGGTTTCTCTCTTTTCACTATATTTTTCCCTCTCAAATACACAAAGTATTTTTCTCGACTCTATTTTTCTGTTTCTATTTTTCACGCCTTTTTTTTCGTCTCTCACGTCTCACACAGAGAAAGAAAAGGGTGCACTTATACGCCCAAATCATCTACCAAACTCACTAAGAATTAGGTAACAAATCACCAAGATTTGTTGAGAGAAAAAAGGAGCAGATTAGAAAACAAATCTGCTGGGAAAAACAAAACACCGATATAAGAAAAAAGAGGTGAAGAGAGAGAGAAAGGGAAAACCTAGTGAGATTGGGCTGACTTTTAATTTTGGGCTCAAATTTTGTGGGCTGCTCGTAAGTGGGTTGCAAGGTGGGATTTTAATGGGCCATTCACAAAGAATTCATTTGGGCCACATACTCTACAAGGAGTTTTCTATTTTTTGATTTCAGCATATTTTTTCCTAAATAATTTAGTTCAGCTCAAATTACGCCGAACACCATAATGACATGGGACACTTTGCTAATGGATTAAGGAAGTACGTTTGGCAGCTTCAACTTCTCGATGATGGTATTTTTAAAAGTTATTTGAATCGATTTAGTATGTACGTAACTTAATGTACTTCGTGTACTCCCTTTGATTTATGTTATATGAATGTTAAGAACCTATGATTAGTATATGTATGAGTGGTATAGGATGGTGGATAAATAATTGTAATGATTGTTCTTAGATGGATTCACGAATGGCTATTCTAATGGAATGATTTCGATTCTATTATACTCAAATTTTTTTATATTAAATATATATATATAACTTTTTTGTACCATTTTTGTAATTTTGCTAACAGTTATATATCGTTAGAAATTTCGCTAAGAGTGTTAGAAAATCGTTAGATTGATATTTCTAACGGTTATAACCGTTAGAATAAATTATTTTTCTAACAGTCCTTTTAATTTTTCCAACGACTATATTTGTTAGAAATTTTACGCCTTCAATTTGTATTTTAGTGTTTTTTTATTATTCAATTTTTTTACTATTATTCGGAATTGATATTATTCATTTTATTTTATTTTTGTATTTTCAAAAAAAAAATCAAAATATATTCTTTCTAAAATTTCAGAATTTTGTAAAATTATATAATTTGCATCCCAATTTTGGAAATTTCTATCATAAGTTCCAAAACAATTCAAAGAATTTAAATTAGGGGTCATTAGCAATAAGCCCCTCATATATAACTAAGAAATTGTGATATGTCTACTCTTTAAATTTTTCTTTGTGATAACATCTAAAAAAATTATTCCCAAAACTACCTTATGTCAATTCGTATAATTTCTCCAAATTATTCCTAAAACTAATCTTCCCATAACAATAATCTAATTCCTAAAAATTTTCTTCCAAGTTCCTAAAAAAATTCTAACAAATCAAAAAGAACAAAAAAAAAAAATGATTTTTTTTTATATTTTTTAATATTTTTTTAATAAAAAAATTTAATTGTTTAAAAAAAAATGATTTTTTTTTCTCGACGGGTTTACGAAGCCGAATATGACTATAGTTGAATATAACTATATGTGACTATATCAACTGTAGTCATATTCTTTCTTTATATTGAAGTTTTTTACATTTTGAACTTAAAAATTCCGATTATATAGTGTGGTACAATCATGTTTACCAAATAATATAAAACAACGAAGATTCCCTATTGTTTACGAAAACAATGCAATCAACAATTTAACATCCACACAAAAAATCACAATTTGAATCTTTTTATTACAAGTTAACTTGAAACGAGAAGATAGAACATATTCGAATATGACAACAGTCATATTCAACAATAGTCCTATTCGAATATGACTACAGCCATATTCGAAAAATACATAAATATGACTATAGTCATATTCGAATATAACTATAATCATGTACCTGCTGTTCACATCTGGAGAAAAAAAACACAAAAATCAAAAAATACATAAATAACGATAGAAAAATAATGAAAGAGAGGGAGGGGGCGTCGATGACAACGGCGGCTGCGGCGGTGGTGAACGAAAGAGCGAGTGAGAGAGGCGGCGACAATGGTGGTGGTGGTGGTGGACATATCTAAAAAAAAACTAAGAAATTGAGAAAGATAACGAAAAAGAGAGAAATAGCCTTACGTGGAAACGAAGGAGGCGGCGTCGGCAACAAGCGGCGATGATGGTGGTGGTGTATATATAGATCTATGTGGAGACGATGGTGGTGTAAAGAGAGAGAAATCGAGAGAGACGACGAACACGAGAGAAAGAGATTATTTATGTGGAGACGTAGGAGGAAGCGACAGCAGCAAAGAACGGCGGTGGCGCGGCGGCGTTGGTGGAGGAAACTTGGAAATTTTGGAGAGAGTTGAGGGATTTAGGTGGAGAGGTGGAGAAGAGAGAAGATGAAAGTGATAGAGGTGGACAAATAATTAGGGTTATAGTAGTTGAGGGTATTTTTGTCTTTTCACACTAGTCTAGGGGGCTCTCACTAATTAATAGTGAAATTTGAGTGTAGGCAAAAGCAATGTTTTGAAAACCGGACCGGACATTGAACCGGACAACCAACTGGGTCATGGTTGGACCGGTTCAACCGGGGTCCGACCGGG